GGGGGGGGGGTGACTGAGGGTGTGGGTGTGTGTGTGGGTCCCAGACCAACACCCACACCCATGGTGCGGGTGTGGGCGCGCGAGTGAGGGTGAGGGTGTGCTTGTGGTTTTGTGTACTATAGGCTTTAGTCCCCTGCACAGGGGACTAAGCGGGGACTAAGCTTTTTGTGGGGGGGACTAAGGGGGACTTTGCAGGACTAGGGGGGACTAAGGGTTTTTAGTGAGACTACGTAGTATCAAGCGAGAAAAGTTTGATTCGGAAGAAATTGGTGTGGTTTTTTTGATTTTAGAATTCAGTTTGAAATAAAAAAGCCCATAGACTCATTTCGTTGTGAAGATCGAGATTGTAGAAGTAAGAAAAAAATAGTTAAGTATAACGTCTGGATTACCTTTCATGTTTTTTTATAGGTCGTTGTCATACGAATACTCAGATGGAAGTGTTTGTCAAAGAACCATCGGAGCATAGTCATGCACCTAATCCAGATCGTGTTCATGTTATTCGATTGAAACATGAAATTAAAGCCCGTGGTTCATCATCGGATGAAGCGACCAGCATTATATTATTTGATGCATTACGTAGTATTCCATTGAATGCAGTTCCTGGCTTACCAACGAACAATGCATTAATGCAAACAATTCGTCATCAACGACAACCAGTACAACTTGATGAAAATTGTCAATTGCCGTTTGTATTTCGACTAACTGATCGTGGAGAGAATTTCGTCTTATTTGAAGATCAATCTATGCTGATATTTACGTGTGATAAAAATTTAACAATTTTAAAGCAATGTAAACATTGGTTTATGGATGGTACTTTCAGTGTATGTATGTCGTTTTAACTCTTTTCTATATACATCTCGCTCATGTAGATATGTTCAAAAAGCCACTACCAATTATTTACTGTTCATGGCATGTTTTTTCTTCAAATTATTCCTCTGGTGTACGTCCTGCTTATTGGCAAAGCTGCTGATGATTACAATGATTTTTTCGATCAGTTGCTGTTGCAGCATGATTTTGAATCCGAATCTATCTTAGTAGATTATGAAAGTGCAACGTTGAAGTCAATCAAAACAAAATTTCCAAATGTTGATTCGATAGGTAATTTTTCATAGGATTTTTTTTGTTTACAAAAAGCTATTTCTTCTATAAAATAGGATGTCTATTTCATATGGGTCAATGCTTATGGCGAGAATTGCAAACTTCAGGCTTTCAGAATAAATACATCACCAATGATAAATTTCGAATGAACGTAAAGAAGCTAATGGCACTTGTCTTTGTACCTGTTTCGGATGTGGTTAAAGCCTATGCAGTAATTGTTGATGATTTTGAAGAAGAAGATCATCTATTACTTGATTATTTTGAACGAGTTTGGGTTGGACAAAAGCTAGGTCGAGATTTGTGTTTGTTTAAATGTATTTATTTGATGTTTTTGATAATTCATAATCCTTATTTAGGTATTAAACGTGGTCAACCAAAATTCAGTTTGCAACTTTGGAATATGTACGAAAGGGTTATTCATGATTTACCAAGATCAAACAATTCAATAGAGGGATGGCATCACGCATTCAACAATCGAGTATCGATTAAACATCCCTCTATCGTCAAACTTACTAAATGTATTCTACGTGAACAATCTCGATTCGAGGTTGATATTGAACGACTACGTGCTGGTGCACCTCCACAAAAAAAGAGAAAACTATATGCAGATCTTGATGCACGTTTAAAAACAGTCACGCTATCGTATAATATTCATAATATTGATGATTATCTAAACCGAATTGCAATGAACTTGAAAATAGGAGTTTGAGTGATTTTAAATAAATTTTATTACATATAATTAAGATAAAAATAAATACTTAGCTTTTCGAACGAGATGTAACAGGACCAAATGTAATAGGACAAGCGATAATTAGGACGAATTGTAAAGAGACAAAATGAAATCGGACAAAGATCATTTAGGACAAATTAAAAAAGGACGAATAGTAAGGGACAAAAAAAAAAGGACGAAATGTATGGTTACCAAAAATTCATCTATACGTCGTACAAATAAAAGTGACAACTTTATATTCCATCAAATTTTGCAAATATATTGCTCTTTATCAACATTGTGTTTTTTTCTAGAGAAAAGTTTCTTAACACTTCTCAAATTATATAACTATTAGCGCTTAAGGATATTCGTTTCAATATATTTTCTAAGTGAAAATTACACTATGATTCAAATGATAACATGTTGATATGTATTCTTGTTTCACTTATCCTTAACTATTATATTTTTATAAATTGAAATGTTTTCAAAAAGATCAATCATAAGAATACTTACGCCATTACTTTGGACGGATGCACTTGACGTATAATAACCATACAACGATATGCTGAAGGGTAGACTAACAGTTACATATGCATCATCGACATTAACTGTACCATCCCAACCAGGAATAGTTACAGCACCTGTAAGTTGCACAGCAGGTGCACCACTACAAGCACCATAGGAACAACTTGTATATGTTGAAGCACATACATAACCAATTGAACCACAATTATTGAAATCGATCAGAAGATTGACACATGTGCCAGACGGTGTTCGAGTATATCCAGTAGCGCATGAGGCTGATGCTAAACATTACATGTTTTTTAATTACATTTCTTATCAAACAATCAAGTACTTGCTGAGACATATACTTACTTGTAGTCGTGGTCTCGCTAGTGGTGGTGGTTGATGTTGTCGTTGTTGATGTCGTTGTTGTTGTAGTTTTACTTGTTGTGGTAGTTGTTGTTGTCGTTGTCGTTGTCGTTGTCGTTGTCTTTGTCGTGGTGGTTGTAGTTGTAGTGGTTGTAGTGGTTGTAGTTGTAGTGGTTGTAGTGGTTGTAGTTGTAGTTGTCGTGGTAGTTGTAGTTTTGCTTGTTGTAGTAGTGGTAGTTGTCGTTGTCGTTGTTGTGCTGGTTGTAGTTGTTGTGGTCGTGCTTGTGCTGGTCGTACTTGTTGTTGTTGTCGTCGTTGTTGTCGTTGTTGTCGTGGTAGTGGTAGTGGTCGTTGTAGTTGTAGTAGTTGTTGTAGTCGTCGTTGTAGTTGTTGTTGTGGTTGTTGTTGTCGTCGTCGTAGTTGTCGTAGTTGTTGTAGTCGTCGTTGTAGTTGTTGTTGTGGTTGTGGTTGTCGTTGTTGTAGTTGTCGTAGTTGTTGTTGTCGTTGTTGTCGTGGTAGTTGTTGTCGTTGTTGTGGTACTCGTACTAGTTGTTGAAGTTGTTGAAGTTGATGTGGTACTGGTAGTTGACGTCGTTGTTGTAGTTGTTCCTCCACCTGTAATAGATAGATCATTAAATAAAAAGTGTACTATTCGCAAAAACTCTGCTAGTATAGAATTATAGAATATTTGATTTTGTTATACATTGTTGCGCGTAACTTTTAGCTAAAAACTACTAAAGATTGTGTAGGCGAGAGATCATACAGACGGATACAGTGGTTAAGAGAATATGATAGATTATGAAACATGAGAAAACTTGCTGTCATTTTTGCACCTTTATGCTTTTAAATGAAAGATATAGTCTAGGTAGACATTTTAAGCAGAACTATTTGAGAGTCAACTTATAAAAGGATTTAATGTAAGAGAAAAATTTGGTTGCATAAGGTTAGTTCGAAGGATTCTGAAGTAGTAAGAAATATTTTTGAGAAATACTTTGATCAGAGGACTACATTAAAATACAGATAATATTTGAAATCTTGTATAATACAGGATAGTGACAGAATTTTATACGAAAATGGGTGTGGGTGTGAGTGGAAGTGTGTGAAATCTTCTCTTTAATAACATCTACACCCACATCCTTGTCTCTGTATATTATCCTATTTCTTTCTATACATACAACACGAATGTATACAATCGTCACACTAGGTCATTTTTAGATTTTATCACGTCTCATTGGATGATCATTGACAATCTCGCTTGTTTAATTCGAATGCTAAAAAATTGAAAAAAGGTCGTCCGCTCAACCATTATTTTCATTGGGCTGAGAAAGAATATTGTGCATTAACTTTGTAGCTTTAATTCAGGTCTGTGATCTCAGTCTCGAATAATAATATGAATGCCAGCTTTTACAAGCAGCTGTTTTCGAATTTTCTTCAATGGGAAAATTGTCACAATTACTATCATATTTCGTAAAATGAAATGGAATTAATAATATAGAAGAGAACACTTCTAGATAGAAAACTCGAAGCTCCTGATTGAAAAAGAGATAAAAATGTTCGTTCGATGCATAGATCTGAACCTGTCTTGAACAAAAAATGCAACGTATCATGAGTTGAAGGAAAATGCGAGATGATTTGAAATCGAGACTTGTAGATTTCCAAGAAACTTTATACATTGTGTATATAGTTCTGTTTATTTTTAATGCGTTGACGGAACCTTTTATTAAAGTCTAAGGTACACAAAATTTTTTTTGTCGGTATTGTATTGAAAGTATCAACATATGTGTTTCTATATCAATTTTTCGATCTAGCTCTTACTAGTGACGGAGCCAGAATTTTAGACTGGAGAAGACTAAAGGGGTTCAGTCCCTTCTGAGAGATCTCTGAGCCCCTTCCTTCTCCCCTGCCATTAGTAAATAAAATACATGCGTCCAAATCTTCCTTTTTGATTACTTTAACTGTCAACAATCGTCCACCGATATTCTAACCGGTGACAATAAGTTTCATAATCATATTGATGTTCACTAGAATTCTGAAGACGATATGTTATTAATATTGTTGAATTTATATCGATTAAAAGGATATTTATATATCTTGGGAGATTTTTCAATTAAACATAGATAAAAACAATAAATTTTCTTTTCGCAAATCGATAGATAGCATCTTATGTTTTCCAAAGATATTAATTAACCATCTTTTATCATTAAACAATAAAGATGATCCAGTTTCTTATGCTTTTCATTAGCTAAACATATTCATTATCTTTATCTCTCTACTGTATAGAGAGGTGAAGATAATGAGTTGTCAATTACTATCAAAGAAATCTTAGTGTAATTAAAATAAAATACTGACCATTTAAACCGAAATAAACAGTTGGAGCAGTAATTACTACCACCAAAACTGTTACTGTTATCATGCTAAGTACGATTTTCCAAAACGTTGATAATCCTTGCGCTTCTACAGATCTAAAACAAAAATTTCTTCAACTAAGGTAGAAGAAGATTGAAGAAAATATGTACTCAGCTGTAGGAATCGATTCTAAATTCAACTTGATACTTTGAGTAGTTGTTGGATTAGTTATGTTTTGATTGTCATTTAAATTAATCGATAAACGAACATTTCCATTATTATCTGAACCGACTGACGAAGTCCAGTTAACCTAATAAAAAAAAGGTTTTAATTTCAAATTTAAAAACTATGAAGAAACTCAAGTGAAGAATACCTGATCAAGATCTGGAATATCCAAAAGAGGAAGCTGCCTTACAGAGGTAATCATTTTGTCTTACTACCTTTTGTTGTTTGTTCGAATCGTCTGACAGTAGTTGTTTACACTCTGTTTATGCTTTGTCATTCATACTGAAAAAAATATTTTGTCGAGTAGAATGCTAATTCCATTTGTATCCATAGAAGAATATTTATTTTAACTACGAAGTGCATGAAACAAGCAGTCACGCGAGCTGCTTTTTCTTTTGTTATGGTGCAAAAGATATGACCACTTGAGTGAGATGCAGTTTCATATTATTGATGCATTAAAAATATAGAGAAAATCAGTCAATTAAAAAGATTCCATTCTTTTTCTTGAAACATAGTTCCCTTGATAAGTGCATGCTCGACGACAAATAAAACAGCTTTCAATGCTTGCAGAACACTGTTTTTTATTCTTTGCTTTATTATTAACAAAAAATAAGGAATGATGAAAACATTGTCCGAATGAAGTTTAGTTCAGATGAAAACTGATGAATGCAATCGAAATAGAGTGAGTTCGGAGATGTAACCTGATTTGCTGAGCCACTGCCACTATCGATGTTTTGATAAATTTTCCAGTACCGCCATCGATGGTGACAACAATTGTTAAAAATCTCGGTCATCAACACCAGTTCTTATCTAATTCAACTGTACCAGCGTCGAGAGCCAAAACTCAGGTCGAAGGTTTTCAGTCGCCACCGCCATGACATGAAAATAGATAATTAATTTCCCTAAAAAATCTTTCATGCTCATGCTCAGTTTTTGCTTATGATGTTTCCATGTAAACAAAGTCAAAAAAATATCAGGTTTTAATTAACATTGTCGATTCAAAATGAATTAGAATCGAATCGAAGTTCTCAAGCTGCAAATTGAAATTTTAATCAGCTCAATAAAAAGATAACTAATCTTAGCTCCTTTCATTCGTAATGTTTTTGATATGAGTAAGCATCAATTGACATCGTATCTCAAAGTGTGGTATTCACGTGAAAAATTAGTCTAGTATTATACTTACCATCTCTTGCGCCATGGTGTCCGAAAAACTGTTCATAATTTGAGTACCTACATAAAAGCCTAAGCGATATGCCTTTTACTACTAGGGTGATAGGAACGAGTGGGGAAAAAGCGAACATACCGTACTTCAGCGTACTTTTTGTACTTCCAGACTATGTCATAACTGTGCATCAGATCTATTTAGCTATTTCAAGTCTCCCATCGACCTGTGTTACGATATATTAGCCAGAGTCCAGCCGGCGTAAGTCTATCTGACAATAAAGTCTAAATACTTCACCGTACTCCCACTGTGGAAATACAATGAAGTATTGGGTGTGGGTGTGGGTGTGGCTGTTATTATGAATGAATTCTCCACACTCTACACCCACACCCATACCCACACCCGACAGCCACAGCCACAGCCACACCCTTATCATTGAATGAAATACTTTTATATTAATCAGCATGTCAGATGGCGTTAGTTATCTTCATCTCTTACGTCCTTCCAAACGATTCAGTGGAATATACCATTGTAATATGATATGTTCTGGATTTGAATGAAAAAATCCATTTCTAAAACTTCTTTAGCGTTTTTTTCAGAACATAGTTTCCAATCAAAAAAATTGGAACTCCTCCCTCATTTTTCGAGCTATCACCAATATTTCTTTTTGTTTTAAAGCTCTCGATTAGAGTAAACGTTTGTCCGAACGGATTTTTGGAAGTTGGTTCCTGGGCTGAGAAAAGTGGAAGTTACTGTTGTTGGGCTACCATTTTTTCTGCTAATTTTAAGATCCTTGCACTAAAATGCTTATAAAAAATGAATAGGACGGAATATCAAAATTCTGTTCGAACAAAAGTTGCGTACTGACATGTACTTTAATTTGAAACCAGCCCGAGCTCGATATCTCGTATTACAACGGAGTTTTGTCGATTCTCCTGAAGGTCAAAAACGACCTATGAATCAGCTGAAACTCCGGTTTAGTATGGCCAATCGGGCTGAAATTTTTGCCAGAGACGTATCTCCCCAAGATCACTCATTACTGAAATTTTCAGCTCAAAAGACCCATTATAACTGGGAAACCATTTCTAAGGGAGGGAGGGGGGGGGAAGGAACTTAAACAAATTTATTGTAACTTAATGAAAAATAGAGTAGAAAGCAAAGGATCTCGAGCTTCAATACATATGTGAAAATGTACCGTTTCGTATATTGTAAACGTTATAGGAGGATAACATCCAATCGAGTTCAAATTTTCACCAGATTCTCCTACGTATGTATCCTACTTATTGCATTAGGGTGTGGGTGGGTGTGGGTGTGGGTGTGGGTGTGAGTGTGGGTGTGGGTGTGGGTGTGGGTGGGGGTGAGGGTGTGGGTGTGGATGTGGGTGTGGGTGTGGGTGTGGGTGTGGATTTCAGTAATCTTATCCAACAGTTACACCGACCCACAACCACACCCACACCCACACCCTTCAATCAAACCCTCATCCATCATCCGTTGCAAATCACCTCTAGAATTTCAACAGTCCTCAACTTTCTCAACTAGTTCATTTTCCAAATGTTCTACCATGGCTAGCTCCTCCATGACCCGCCATACACATCACTCTCCAACTCTTCGGCGAAATCCACTTCCTAGCCACTCCTAGCGGAAAATGTCGTTTTTTCCCAATATCTTCCGTTTACTTCACTCTATTCTCGGCTACACGAGTTAGGTGTAAAACACCCCGACTTCCTGTTACTGCTTGGACTCACTCAATTTCCTTCATCTCCTTCCATTTCCCGAAATTCCTTGAATCTTCGTAACTACAACGTGGATCACATCCATCTTCCGAAATAGTCCTATGTGTCTTGAATATCTTCAATATACTTCACCTCCCTTAGGTTGCTTCATTTCCTTCCAATTCTCAAATTTCCTTGATTTTCCATCCGTCCATGATGATTCACCACTCATACGCCTTACTACTAGTATGTCTATTGAATTCCTCCAATTGCTCTCAATTGCTTGATTTACTAGAATTTCCTAAATCTCCTCGAATTTTTATAATTCCATCGAGCATCATACCCTATATCATTTCCATTTATCTCCCAATTGAATTCCTCGAATGCCCTTGAATTGCTCTGAGTTGCTTGATTTACTTCAATTTCCTAAATTTCCTTGAATTTCCATAATTCCATCGTGTATCATACCCTATATGCCTTACCATTTATATCTCCATTGAATTCCTCGAATACACTTTAAATTCTCCGAGTTGCTTGATTTACTTCAATTTCCTAAATTTCCTTCAATTTCCATAATTCAATGGTGTATCACACTCTATACCTCCTACTATTTATATGTTTATTGAATTCCCAAAATTCCCTTGAATTTCTCTGAGTTCCTCAATTTGCTTGACTTTCCTGACATTCCTTGAATTTCCATAATTCCGTGATGTATCACACCCAACATGCCTTACAATTGTATATGTATTGAATTCCTTCAATTCCTCTGAGTTGCTTGATTTGCTGGAATTCCCTAAATTTTCTTGAATTTCCATAATTCCATGGTGTATCACACCCTTTATCTGCTACTATTGTCGGCGCCAGAATTAAATAGGGGTAGGTGTAGAACGAATA